GGTGGTGGGGGAGAGAGGAAAGGCCACCCACCAGAATGAACAGGCAGAACAAAACATTTATATAGGAAACATCTGGCTGAACTGAAGAAGATCTAGGGGAGATAGGAAGCCCCCGTTTTGTTTTTTGCTTTTTTTCTTCAAAAATGTCCTAGACTCGAGGGGAGGGCTGGCCTCCTGGGGTGAAATGAGCAGGCCCTGTCCCACCCCACACTCCTCTGTCACGGAGTACAGGATGTGCTGGGGGCCAAATGTGTGTGTGCTGGGGAAACACAGGGAAGAGATGAGTAGGGAGGAATGCCCCCTCACTGGAATCTGTTACGAGGGCTGAGAGCGTCCCCATCCAGCTCCTGGACTCTGGGGGTCTTGGGTGAGATGGGGGCTGGAATGGGTTGGGGCAGAGGGGAGGCTGGGCGCTCAGCCTAGAAAGCCATCGGGGTCGTCATCCTCAAAGTGGCCTTGCTGCAGCACCTTAATGTGGTGCTCGTAGATTTTCAGGGCCGGGCCCAGGCGGATGGACAGGCCAGTCAGCACATCTGTGCGCTGCATGAGCAGCAAAGACTTGCCATCGATTTCCTGGGTGGGACGGAGAGAGCAAGCGAGTAAGGTCAGAGCAGACCCCCGCTGAGGCCCTGGCATAGAGGGGTACACCGAGGGCTGTGAACTCGCCTGCTCTTGGAAAGCTGTTGCCTGCTCCGGGAAGCCGGCCTCGGTGAAGTACTCAACCACATCCATCACCGTCCACTCCACAGGGTCAGCCGGCTTCTCTTTGCGCCCAGAACTGTGTCACAACAGAGGGAACCAGTGAGCAGAGATACTCCTCTGACTCTTACACACACACAGGCGACACTCCCATGTCTCAAATACCCCAACTTACGGACAGCCAAAGGGGGTTCCATCAGCCCCTGGTAGGGCTGGTTTTCCTGGGGGCAAAGGCACAGGGGATGGGGAGTCTGGCCCAGTGGCAGCAGAGGCTGGGAAAGAAAACACATATGCCTGTGGCTTTGTCTTGGGGCTCAGTTCCTCCCCACCAGGCAATACCCCCCCAACTCAGAGAGATCCTTACCTGATCCCCCTTCCTTATTCATGGCTGCCATGGAGAACACTTGGCGGGTACCACTGCCTGGTGCCGGCCCCCGGCTTTCATCCTGGCCCTGGTGGGGTCCACAGGGTGTCCACTCCTTGACCCTCTCCTTGGCACTCTGAGGGCCTCGCTCGCCATTAAGCTGGTGGTGCTGGGCACCTGCTGGGCGGTCACCCTCAGGCACCTCCGAGCCCTCAGACACATCGTCTTCATCATCTTCCTCTTCATCATCTTCTTCCTCCTCTTCCTTCTCAAGCACTCGCTCTTCTCCACCTCTCTGGTGCCGGGGAGAGAGCCGGGAAAGGTTAGTAGCTGTTCTGGCCCTGGGCCCAGTCCCTGGGATCCAGGACCGAGTGGTGTGCTTAACACCCACCTTTAATACCAACACGGACTAACTTTTACGCATTCAGTCCGTGCCAGGCTCTGTGTTAATAAAGCCCTCGGTAGCCAAATCTCACTAAACTCGCTCAACAACCTCAAGGGGTCGCTACTGCTATTAAGTCCCGTTTTACAAGCGGAGGAAACTGAGGCTCGGCAAGATTAAGTCACTTGCCAAGGTCACCATGCGCCGAACCCGCAGGAAAGACGCGAAAAGCCAGGGCCGCCCGCCACCCGGTTCCTCCCGGGACTCGCGCCCCGCCACCAACTTCGCCCGCACCTGC